ACTCCAGAGTGTTGTTCAGCATAGGGGTGAGTAGAAAATGAAGGCTAATCATGTTTTGGGTGTACTATTCCTTTAAGAACTGTAACAATAAAGATCCATATTCTCTCAACCTCCACTAACCTGGAGTTTTACCCTCAGACCCGCAGAGGTGGCCCCAGCTTGTTACGCATGCTCCGAGTCGCCTTCTGCTCCCGCCAGCGCACCCCTCTGCTGCTCAGCCTCTACCTGCTCACTGTGCACGTCCTACTGATCCTGTGCCTGGGCGGATACCTCTGAACAAACGCTTCAAATAAGAAGGGAGACGGTCATAAAGCATGGAAATGCCTCGGTATAATTCTTAATGCGAATAACTCAAAGAACGGTTTGAAGGATGTTGCACTTTACAGTAATTAATCATTTAGCCAAAGTATACACATATACAGCAGTTTGTTTCAGCTGTTCTGGTCGTTGCGTCATCATGGGAGATTTCAAGGGATTTTTTTTTTTTTTTTTTTGTGTCAAACAACAAAGCACCGACCTTCACCTATAGTTCTAGATCAGCCTCCTTTTTTAGGGTTAAAGCCGCCTTCCTACACATTAAAAGAGGCTGGATAAGTTAGATTGGGTGTCAAACGAAAAGAGACACGATCAAGTGTATTTTAGAAGTGTTTACATCATGTGCCTTTTTTAGATTCCAGCTTTGAATTCTTTAAAGTTCAAAGAAAAGTTCTGGAAAGCGACATGATTTAATTGGGATTTCATGGAATGGACCAAATACAAAACAGAACCTGGTTGAGAAGTGGAAGGAGAACGATACACAATTAAAAAAACAACCTGAGGATTTCACCCTTTAGCACTCAGCCCCACTGAGTCTTTACTTTGGCTGCTGGTTTTTTTTCTATCAGGTTTAAACATCCAGAGCTCAAAATGTACATTAGACCTACTTATTTAGGTCTGGACTTTGACTAGGCCGTTCTATCACATGGAAACAAAACCATCCTACTGTTTCTCTGCCTGTTTCTGTAGTTCTCCTCAGCCTAAAGCGTCTCATTCTTAAATTTTTTCCCTCCTTGCACTGTGTTTAGCTTCAGCTGTCTTCCTTATAACCTGCTTCCTTATGTTTAAGGGTATATCCTGTTAGCTTTTTAACTTTTTTACATACATATAGAAGCTCCTCCAGAGCTAACATCAAGATGTTTCACTAAACTCTCATCAGGTTAAGTTTGTGGCCATGTTAGGCCTTCACAGAACACTTAAAACTATAGCTAACATCGTTAGCTAGTTAGTTGGAACGTCGCTCACAAGTTCAACATATTTACTCATCAGATAACTTCTAATATAAACTGATTATATTTAGAGTTTACGGAGAAACAGGAGCTAAAAACCAAGTAATGCTGCACAGTTCGGATTTTTGTTAGCATAAAATTGCGCATCGTGTTTCTTCCACTTCACAACTGAATCCTGTTTAAGTTTTCTGCTGCAGTAATAATTTAAAATACTTCAAGGGGTCCAAACGCCTTTGTGGAGCAGCTTAAATGACGGTTAGAAACCATCTGTGAAAGAGGAATTTGCTCACTAAATATGCTAAACTAGCTACCCTAAGCTAGCTACAGTTACCAACCTTTGCTACGCTAGCTGTTTTGAAGAAGCTGGAATATTTTTTTTAGACCAGTAACTTTTCAGTTGAGCTCATGATGTGATTTTTATCTCCTGCTATCCTTGTTTTATGCTCAAAAAAGTGGAGCACGGTGCAATTTTTCTGGCTTTACACATTCCTGTATCGTATCTCCTTACATTCATTATGCAGTTTGGTTGTTTTCGGGTACAGATTAATCTTGTAATGTTTGTCTAAGAAATGCATTTCACTTAATGTCCATTATCATCTTGCTGTATTCTAATGGAGGAGGATCTTTTTTTATAAATCTGTCTCATTCCATGACCTTAGATTTTATGTAATTCCTTGTTGTGAAATATCGGTTAAATCGGCCTCCATATCTAACGTCCCTATCTAGAACACTGGGCTCTACTCGGCTACTACTCCGCTGTTACCCCCTTTAAAATCCACATTCTTTGATCTTATTCCTTCCTGTAAATACAAATAAATAAAGTGTGAAGGGCTGTAAATGGAAAATATAATGTAATCAAGGGAATAGAATCAAGGAAGGGATTCCTCTTATGTCATGTTTCTGGGTAGGTTTTTGTTTACATCCTTGTTGGGATCATGGCGCCTCGAAGTCTGAACATTTATCTTTATATGATAATTATGAACTGAAAAATGAAGCTGGGGTTTCGGGCCAACGGAAGATTTTTTCCAGTAAGTACTGGTGTGGATGAAACACTACAGTTGGTTTTATTAATGGCTGTTGGGGCAGATTGTTACTGCTGACATGTTTGTGCTCAAAGCTTTTAATAAAGGATGTTTCTAAGTGGACCTGAAGTATTTTTATTTTATTTTTTTGTTAAAAGATCATACTGTCTTCAGAATTACGAATTTTTTACAGCACATTTTAATGGGAAATCCATTTTTTCCCAGTTAAAAGCATGTTTTTATGTTCTTTCTGCGCTACCTTCTCTTTAGGGTTCAAACAGGATTTAGGTCTGGAGAAGAAGAAGACACCAATGGAAGGATAATTGGTTTATATTTTGAATTAAAATCCTGTGTTTTATGTTTTTTAAACATGGGTTCCAGGGCATATGGAATCAAACAGGCCCTCAGCATCATAAAGCCTCCACCATACTTAACAGTTGGCATGATTGTATTATTAACTTTAGTCCCTTCTCACAAAAAGTCTCAGGTTAAAATCCCAGTAGAGTCTAACTCAACAGGTTTATCTTAATGATGCTAAAACAAAAATAATTATTTTGCTGCTAAATGTAGAGATTTTCTGATGTTTTTTTTGTTTTTTTTATAAGGACTTGGTGACCCCAAGCAAACTTGAGTTCTCTAATAGTGAGCACAGGTTCCAGGCTACTGGGTGTGATGGTGAGATAATGCTTTAATTAAATTTTCAATGTACTTTCTATTTTTAAATAAATGTAAATAAGTAAAAATAATGTTTATCTTAGATACATTTCATGAGAATTATTTGGTGGTGACAATATTTAAAAAATTTGCTTTTCAATTTAAGGATCCTTTTTTTTCCCTTAAATTTCCAGTTTGAGGTTATGCTTTTGCAGTAAAAAAAATATGTTTTTACACATACATACCTCCTCAGCAAGTACATTTTTTTTTCTTAAAATTTAAATCTATTAACTGCTGCTACGTGACCTCGTAATTTTA